GAAAACCAACTCCTCATTTTGATTAAAAAAAACCCCACCAAAACCAGAAAAACATTTGCAAACTAAAGGTCTGAAAATAGACATGAAAAATGCAAACAGCAGAACAAGTTTGTTCAGCTCAGTATCAAGTATTCCTCTCCCCAGAAGACCCTTGCAGGAGTCAGCAGCAACTGTAATATGAGTTTTCTCAGTATATATTGGTTTCTGAGTAGGTAAGGAAGGAACACCAGTGCAAACTCATTAATTACTTCCTGGAAAGCAGGTTCACTTGTTCTAAAAGCAGAAGAGAATTTTAGGAAGTAGTTATTTTTTTTGTTCACCACCTTTAGTACTAAAAAGCTCACAACTGGTTAGTTTCTTCAGGGAAGTTTATCCCACCAGCAAAAGAAAGGACATAGATCAGTAGGCATACTGATCTATCACAAAGCATAAAACATAGTCACAGTACTCAAAGAAAACGTGGAAGTCTGAACTCTTAAAAAAATATATACAGTTACCTGAACTTTATTTTTAACTTAAATATTGCTTCTAAATAGAATCTACAGTTCGACAAATGGGTTTGTGAATAAAAACAAAAATAGGAAGGACACTGACCTTTTGAGAGACATTATATTTCATGGATTTCTATGCATTTTGGCATATGTCTCTTTTTAAGTCACGTTTACATGAAAATTTATGGAATATCAGTTACAGGTCTGGTATCAAGGCAGCACTCATTTGAAGTCTTTCTCACTTTGCAAGAAGTGGCCCCCAGCCCACTATAGATGAAAACTTGTCAGAAAAGGCCTGAGATTTTTTCAGAGAAGCTTAAACATATCTTGCACTGTTGGCAACAGAATTTGGATATCAATCTATTTAACCCCTTAAGTCTCAGATACCAATAACAATTTGGATCAAGACACACTGGATAATTCTTGAGGTCTTGATAAAAGAGCAATTCTCACAAGAAAACTTTACCTGCAGTGATGTGCTCTGTCAGGTTTGATGCTACAACACTTTGGGCACTTGTAAACCACCTGTCCTGGCTTTAGCTGTAAACTCTCGATGAACTCCTTTGTGGCATTACCTTTGGGTACAGCACCCTGCAAAAAAAGAAACCAGAAGATTAACCTGTGGACATTACAAGTGCTAAGAACAATCGGAGGGGAGGGAAAAGAAAGAAAAAAACTTCCCTAAGATCAACAGAGTTTCAGGAAGAGCAAGAAGATTCAGAAAAAAAAATTTAAATGAGGCCCCAATATATGAAATCACATACTTAAACATCATTTTTTCAAACATCAGTAAATCCTCACTTAAACAATTAGTCTTTTGTAATCCTATAGTAACCTTAAAATATTTAAGAATCCTCATCCCTCTCCACATCTATCAAGAAATTAATCATGGTGGCATTTCACATTACAAACTGGAAACCGCAAATGTTTTATTCCCGTAGAAGCAGCTACTTGTGTACATTAGGAGTTGCTGGTAAATGCCTCGTATTTATAGCTATGCTTCCATTGTGTATTTGTTATTTAAATTAGGGTTTAACATTCAAACACTGAGCACTAAGAATCCTCCCACCTGAATAAGACTAGGCAAAACATTGTTAGCTGTGCAATTTCCACTTTAAAAATGTCTTTAAACAGGTAACACATTGGTACTGCAGGAGCCTCAGTTCAAGAGTTTCCAGCCTTTCTAGGGCTCCAAAAAAAAAAAAAAAAGTCATGAAATGTGCTGTATGAAATCGGTGCTGGTACACTGGCACAAATGCACCTCTGTGGATGTAAGGCTTTTATACTGAAATAATAACAGGGATGTAATATTTTAACATATTTCTGATGGAACAGTCTCTTTTTAACACATCTATACAAGCTCTCAACAGCAATGAACAGGAACAATACACATCAATGAGAGAACTGCACATTAAACCAGTACTATAAGGCTTTCTTGAACAGTCTTTGGGTTTTTACACAGAAACCTCTCAACAGGCCTGACCAATTTAAAGTTACCAAGACCAATTTCCACAAAACGCTACAACTGATGTTCTCTCTCCTTAGTACACAGCAAAGCCTTAGGAATGTTTTTAACAAGAACCCACAGGAAGCAGTTCCTGAAAAGCATGACACACGCTATCAATTCTGAAGAATTAAGGTGTTCATTTATTTATAATAAGAATTATATTTCTTTGCCTCAGCAGTGCTTTCTGTTGCATTCTGATCCTAGCCATGCCCCTGGTTCTCCATGTCCTGGCAGCTTCCTTCATCCCTGACTCACACTGTTTGCCAGATGTTGCTGCATTCCCTCACTTTATCTTCCCTCCTCTATTTTGTTTATCTGATTTCCTCATAAAAATATAAAACAAAATCTCACTGGCTCTCACCATCCACACACAAAAATCCCAAACCACGCTAGGAATTAACATATCTTTTCCCAATTATTCTGCATAGAGATTGTATCTGCTTCTCCAACACTGCTTGCCCAGCCTGCTTTAGAATACAGCTTTTGTTTCAGCAGAGCTCCTGCTAACTCTGCAAAATAATTCCAGCGACCTGAAGGTCTCTAGGCATTAAAGCCACGCAACATACAGTAATTAACCACAACAACAAGAACCCCTGGAATATAAACTATGTAACAAATTGTTGCAACCTTGCATCAGTCTTTACCATAAATGTGAAATTACCCCAAACCAAGCCATTTCTGCAGTGCTGTGGCTTCTGGGAGAGCTGGAAACTAAGAAACAAAGATTACACTGAAGTTTTAAATGACACCTAACAAGGCTTCAAGTAGGAAACAACATTTGGAAAGAATACGGAAGGAGTATCAGAAGCACACTGCCATTCCCAACAGCAACGAGAACACTCAGGAGGAAGGGGCCCAGAGGAGTCTAAGTTTGTTTTTCCTTCCACTGACTAGGGGAGATGGGGTTCTGAACTGAAACTTTCCAGAGGTTATTAAGCAAAACAAACCATCACAGGCCACTCAGAACAAACATCATAGTACTACACTGTATATTCTCACTAGCTGAAAGACAATAAAGCAGCAGACCAGATGTCTCATAAAGCAATGTCCTATGGAGACATACAAGGGGGTCTTACAAATCTGACACTTCCTGCCTGCCTAAGAACTGTCAGCTCTTAGCATACTCATAGTATTTATTTCAGCATCGTGCAATAAACTCAACTAAATCACTAGTATGAGAGATGATAACGTGGCTTTTCTAAACAACACACGTTCTATCCCAATCTGCTGAAGCAATACTTGCCAAGGCAGACAACCAAAACCAGCTTTTCCAGCTTTCCTGTTTGTCAAGACACAACAAGCCACAAACACGAGCTCTGCCACTGGGGATAAAACAGTGTCAGAGAGAAACACTCCCCTTCCCCATGCAAAAAAAGGAGCTGCTCACACAATGGGAATCTAAAGCTGGGTCCTTGACTTTGCATCTGACTTGAGTGGGATGAGAAATTAGCATACCACATCAGCAGCCTCACTCAGCAGGCTGACACAGAAAAGTTATTTAAATCTGCCACTCATTCAGCAACTGAGTTACCCAACATCTAGCAGACAAAGAAAAACACCACCGCTTTCTTTCCGAGACATACAGAGAGAGATATACTTACTGGATCTGTCAGCATAGCACGAAAATGTGAAGCCAAAGCGAGGAAAGCCAAGGTGTTGAACAGTGTGCCATTGATGACACTATAAACATAATCTCTCGATGGAACTAGCATGACAAGAAGGACTACAAAGTCGGCATAGAACACCAGCATCCAGGTAACGACAGCACATGCAATACCACAGCCATCTCGAATAAACCACATTGTTCCCAGGGAAGCGCGGCTAGGAGGTGGAACACACTTTTCTGGCTGGAGGTATTCAGGTTTCCTTTCAATATCTCTGAAGCGGTGGACTGGAGTAATCATCATAGGCTATTATGTCCATACTTGCATCTGAAAGAGAGACAGAAACACTGTTCACCGCTTTGCAAGACATGTAGACCTCTGTTTGCATAATGGCATGGGGATCACGTGGAAAATTCCATATTGCAGAAAGTGAGCTGAAAAAGCAAAAAAGGTAAATAAATCAAACATGAAATAATGGATTTGGAAATCAGACTCCTGCACTTATCAGAACTCTTCTTACTCAGAAGACTCTCTAAGTGCTTTTAAGACTTGCTTAATTACACATTAAATCCACCGGTGTGCCACCTCCACTCCCCACAGAGGAAAGGCCACAAGTGGTTCAATGAAGAGAACGGTGATCAGGTAGGTGCCAACAGGAGCTGCCACAGCAGGAACTGAAGCAACAACTGGACACTGTCATATGAGGAAAGAAGTAAAGACCTGGCACAGCTGGCAGGGTCCCTTTTTGCTGGGACAGACCTGGGGAAGGGAAGAATCTCTCCTATAGATATTGGGAAGCTTAGGAAGTGGAAGAGGTTTCCTTTGTCCTTATCCGTTGACTTTGGGGGGCTTTGGGGTAAAGCCGCAAAAACAAACCATGGTGAAGTTATGGTGGCAGGAACTGCTGATGAAGCAGGCCAGGCAAAGATCTTGATAGGAATTTCTAGTCTTGCCTGAAGGATGCTCTCCCTGAACAACAGCTGTCTCCCACTCTCACCTTCCACCACCTTTGCTTCAGCCCTTGATGGCATTCATCTTACCTCCCCCTTTAGCATTCCTAGCCAAGTCCACTCCACTGCAATAAGGTCACTAACATGACATTTGCTGCCATTGCCCTGCCCTCTCCATCTCTGCAGGCACCTTGCCCATCCAGAAGGTAAGGTCTATCTTGGAGCCAGAAACTGTACTACTCCAGGTATGCACGGCACTTACTGTAGACTCAAAGTAACTCTCACCAAACGTAGGCATTTGGGAAAACAAAAAAGGTGCTCATAAGACTTTGGCAGGGAATCAATCGATCTGCAGTGTGAACGTACAGCACTCAATGTCACAGCACACCCGGAATGCTACGCTTTGAAAGCGGCTCTTTATACACCCAGCAACTTCTTCCAAAGATACGCCTTAACAGAGTATTTGCACAATGCTGTAAACGCTCAAAACCACTACAGCCTCTACATAAAGACCCTTCTACAAAAATGGATACAATTATTTCACTACCAAATACACTGAATTGCATATACCTGAACTGAAGGGTTCAACCTTCTCATATTTCAACAAAAAAGAGGGCATTTTTCCTTTTTAATTCAGATAAAGGGAGACAATGCTCACCATTAATTATGTTTTCTGCTGGAAAAGTTCATACTGAAATTATTCTTGAGTTTAACCGCTAAAAAAGTGACACTGTTGCCTAGACAAAATGGGTAACTTTCCTATAAAAGATAGTGACAGGGTCACAATAGTACCTAGGACCTTAAACTTGCCTCAAAACTTTTATGGCTAAATTCTGTCAAGTACAAGGGAAAAGCTCTATTTTGCTTGATGCCGACCTAAATGGAGACACTACTGCCCCCACCTCCACAGGAAAGGAGAGGATATCTTGCTTTCTAGTTGTTATTTCAGGAGGACCAAATCCATAAAGGCCAATTAGCCTTTCACAGCCAAAGACTAACGTTATTAATGAGCCGGATGATTAATTCCACCCAAGCACATCTGTGATGAGCTTGTGCATGTTAGTGCAAGTGACATGGAAGAGAGGTGACTGGAACTGTTACTGCCACAGTGAGAGGCAAAAGCAGGAGCGCAAACTTTCTCGGTGCACAGAAGTGGACGAACCAGTCCATTTACAGTATTTGTTTTCTAGCATAACTGGTATAAATAAACTAGAAGAATTAGGTATTTTCTTGTATTTCTGCTTTGAGCATTTAGCGTGCTGCCAAGTGAGAGAGTTTAAGATGCTTTATGAATCTGAAGAAAGTCGCATATACTAACGTTAAAGCATATCAGTCTTATATTTATACATACATCACACAGAACAGAAAAATCAAGATAAAAATGAGCATGTGAGGATCTCATTTACTTCAGCAAAAGAAAAAAAACCCTCTCCTCATTCACAAAATTCACATACCATGCTGTAATTACTTTGTATTTTAACCACAGCTATAATTTAGCCTCATGACTCCTCATACTTAGGGAGACAAGCTATATAATTTTCAGAAACAGTGATTACCCAAACAATCTAGTGGTCTAAGTTCAGATGAATCTATACCTACTAGTAAATCCATACCTTTTCCCCAGTTTTTCTCAATTTCTGTAAGGACACCTATGTATTCATACACTCACGCAGACTTAACAAGTATTTTAAAGACTCAATCCCTCCCCCAAGGAAACAGGTTAACCTTCATTGCATTATTTAATAATCTTAATAAAATTGTTATGCTGGTTTGCCAGGTCAAAACAAAACTGACATAATTAAAGTCTCATGCCTGACAACAATGTTTAGTTGACAGTAACATCATCTTGCATTAAAAAATAAGAAAGAAAACAGTACTTTAGGTGTTTGATTTTCAAACAGAAGTCTTAGCCTTAACATATCATGTGCAGTAACAAGCTGGGATTGTCCTGAACAGACTTTCAGGATTTTTTGCCTAGACTCTGAGCCTTTTTACTTTTTTTTCAGCCCTGAGGTTTTGTTTCCCAAAGCAAAGGAATGAAACGGTCACAGGAAAAGCAGACTCCTATTTAACAGAGGAACTAGTTTGACAAGTCACCTTAAGGTCAGTATTATATATTATATATAAAGTCAGCCTGACTGAAAGCTAGGCAAATACATAGTGATTAAAACTGCGGGTTTAGCCCTGCATGGCACACTTCAGCAGTCAAATAAAAATTAACCTCTTGCAAATGCAGGAAGTGGTTTCACTCCAGTAAGAGTTCTACAGCGCTCTCTCTGAAATTTTATTGAGCTAAATTAAAAAAAGAAAAAAAAACACAACAAAAAGAAAAGCAAAAAAAGCAGCAAGCTACTGCTGTGGAACTGTCTAAGGAGAAAGTGGAAGGAGCCTTGAGGCACCTCAGTCAAAGTCTAAGGTCTCATTTCTGCACTGCAGTAAGGAAGCAGTTAAGAGGATACAGCTTAGGCCTCTGATTCCGATTTCTGGCTGGAGGACAAATTTGTTATTTAACACAATTTGTTATTTAATGCTTGCTTTAGAGGCATCATCAGGCAACAAAATGAAAAATCAGTAATTAGTACATAAAGACCATTGATTATTTGAGAAATAGGTATGTGTTTTAGTGTACATTAACTTAGAGTCAAGTTACGGGAGCTTGGAGTCTCAGCTTCTCTTCTACATGACGTGGTTTGTTTGGTTGTTTGTTAATTCCTTGTTCTTACATAAACAACTGGTCTTGTTTATGTTGTCCAACCTGGTATTTTCATATAAACAATACCCCCAAAAAAATATTGTAGGGGGACGGAAGCAGTAACTTACCCTAACTGGCCTGCCCTTGAATCATGCTGCATATGAACTTCATCCATAACACACAGATGGAATATGTCAGTCCCTCCTGCTCTGGAGCAAACAATACATAAAAAATGAAGGCAAGGAGCTTAAGGACTTAATCACAGTGTCAGGCTACAAGAGAGGCCACTAGGTAAACGTGAGACACAATGACAACGCACACATCAATTTAGCTTAACAACCTGTCAGAGCAAAGACCTTTTCTTCTTTTTTATCTGGAAGGCATTCGGCATTACCGGAATAATCAAAAAACCACGTAATATACACATTAGAAATGTAAATAAAACAAATTAAAATCCACTTCCTGCTACAATGAACTCTTAAAATATGCTATTACACCCTATATAAATGAAGTAACTGTCTTTTGACCTGCCATAAGCCATGTCAAAAATCTATTTTTAATAGCCTGTGACCGCCAAAGAATGAACTAAACAATGATGTGGGCCTTCACCCAATGTGTACCTGAAAGCTACCTGAGGTTCTGATGTTATAAAACTTACACCGAGCTTAACACCACCATTATCGCTACGCAGCTGATTTTCATGTAATTACTCATGCTAGTGAAGTCAAGCACGTGGGTATGACTTTCAAAACTATAGGATTACTACATACATTGCAACCATTTCCTCTATTAGAAGTCCATTACCATTAAACTTTGGGAAGAGGTTACATTTTGTCACATGAACCAAGTGAATTTCAAGTTCTGCCAATTTTGGGCGGCGGGGCGAGAAAGAGACCAGGGCAGATGATGTGCATTTTTTGAGGTTTTCAAGGTTTTCAGTTTGAGTTTGTGTGTACTTTAAAGAGATACTTCAGAATAGCTTTTATGACACGCACAGAACCAGAGGTCATTAACAGTGTTTTGAGAGCTGACAAACACCATTAAAGTTAACTTTTTATCGTCATCAAAAGAAAGTGAACATACATAACCAGTCACAACACCTAAACTAGGTGATCTAGTCCCACAGGACAGGATGCCCCTTTAAATTAAGACAACAAACCCCAGACAGATAGATAGAAACTGCGAGAGAGTTCATTTTGAAGTTTCTTTCATTTTTGCTGTACATAAAACTGCATTGATTAAAACACTGCATATTTAATCTTCCTTTGCAGCAGAAATGAAAGAAAGTGTGTTTTCTAACTAACAGGATATTTACCTGTGCTTCTCCCGCCACACTTCCATAAAGCCCAAGTCTAATAACAAGCCTGTCAAAACTTGCCAAAGAAAGTTCTAGCAGGGATAATAAGGAAATATCATATATTTTTTTTTTTTTCTGGCAGTCTCCTGCAGATTCATCCAAATACCCATCAGCATGGCAGCTTCCAACCCCTGGTTTACAAAACCTGAGAGGGTCAATGGGACATTTCTAACAGGTCTGTGAAAGGCAGCTAAAAATAGCAAGTCTGTTATTAGCAGGCTTAAATTTGCTATAGACAGACATACTTCCATTGGAATATTTTTGGGACTCCACACACGGTTAAAAAACCAACCAAGCAACCAACCCCAACCCAAAACCCCAAACAGGTCAAAAACTACTCCTTTCGGGTTAAAATGGCAAAAGCAATAGGGAAGGATCAGGCACGGGGCTTAGCACTGCACTGATGGGACACCCGATGACTCAGATCAAAATGTCATAGGGCAAAGTCAGTACTGCCAGCCCCACTCTGTACTGCCAGCCCTACTCCAGCCGCCCCAGGAGCAGGGTAACAGGATTTTATGCCTAGCACAGAAAATTTCTCATTTTTCTTCTGGAAATTCAGGCCACATTAAGGAGTACAGTTTCAGCCTAAGTACTACATTACCAGCTACTTGTCTGCTTTTAGCAAGAGGCTCACAAACATCTCAGATTCCCCTGAACCTTTTGGCTACTGAAGTCATGCAATCTCAACACTTTCAGTTCCCATACTGAAGAAAAATGGCATAAAGAAATCAGAATGTGAATTATATTAAAGCCATTAAAAATAATCTTAAAAAATTACAGACCTTAAACCAAACTTGTGTTTTCTGAGGCTAAAGGCACAGACTTGGATTACCTGCCTTGGAAAGGGGGAAAGCGAACACAAAGCCAGATGGTAACCCGGTTATAACATTTTTCTATATGTGAAGGGAGTAAGTGGCTATATCACAACTCTGCTTTATAGTCACAGTTCAGAAAACTGTTTACACCATTAACTACTTTGATGACTCAAAATTTATTATTTTTTATTTTATTTATTATTTTGAAGAGGCCAGGCATAACAAGACCTTAGTAAAAATGGATCACACTAAAATCACACCTTTATTATGTTTATTAGAAGCATCTTATTAGAGGGGAAGATTTAATTGAAGTTCTCCACTTCTGAAGAACACATTTGAAGGGGAGTATGAATACATAGAGGGAACTTCTCCCTTCGGAGAGCAGGAGGAGGTAGAAATTACCAGAGAGACATCTGTCAGATCTCGGAACTCCATCCTGAGGGCCTGAACAGGGCTGAGACTGTCAGGCTCAAAAGAGACGCAGCCACATAAGGCATAAACCCCACAGTTCTCCTCTCATTTACATCAGTGCAAACAAGAAGCAACTTCAACACTGCCAGAGGAATTCCATTAGTAGAACTGTAAGGAAAATAAGGCCATGTTTTCTCAATTAAAACCATGTTTTTTCCTATCCTAATGTTTGTGGTACGCAGTCTCTCGGGACAGATGGTTAACAACTTCCTGGTTAATGTCTATATCTCTTCTGTTTAACTAATGGATATGTATTGTATAAATAAATTATAATGCTATAAAGACTGACCTAAGAGATTGAGTTAGCTGGTAAGTGACTGCACTCCCGCCTACACGGCCTGTCAGCTGCCAGCCTGAGCAAAGGAGAGGAGAGAGACAAAGCCAACGTAGTTACTGTCCAAGGTACAGAAATGCTGGGCCACTATGGATGAGTGACAAAATTGGGGCAGCACCTGGGAGCAGGACACAAGTCACAAGGGCAGTAGAGACTAAGGTCAGACTTGGAACTGACTTGGTCTGATCACAAAGCCAATGATCTTAATAAGCTTTTGATCAGAGATGGAAAGTACTTTATAAAACTGTCATTAAGGATGAACCATTACAAAATAACTTATGATCACTTTTTAACTATCAGAGCCGCAAGGGCAACAGAGAAATTCTGTCACGCCAATCTTAAGAGTTGCTTGATAGACTAAATACACATGAGCTACTTAAACTATGTAAAAAGAGAAATACTAATCCTGAACATATAAATACAAACCAGCTTTGTGGCATTGCCACCTATCTGGAGTAAGTATCAAAAGGAAAGAACAATCTTGCAGAAGGGACTGCACTGGGAGACAGAAAATAACAAATGGGGGTGAGATGCTTTTCCACAGCACTGCAGTTATCCTGAATAGACAGCCTTATGAGAGACAAAACGGGAGAAGCTGTCCTGCTCTTCTAGACAGCTTTGCAATTTTGATGCTGACTCAGGACTTCAAACAGCAAGCCATGGGATTAAGGGAATTTAAATTCTCAATTTGCCCTGTATCAACTTTTTTTTAAAAAAAAAAAAAAAAAGGAAAGACAATATTAAGGGGGAAGGTTTAGCTATACTACTAGTACTATTTTTAGCATCATTTTTTAAAACTACATTGCTTTCATGGCATAAGGAACACATTTTTCCAGAGAAGCAGAAAAAGAGTTGCATCTTTAAAGTTTTAATCAGATTAAGGAGCAGGCAGAACCATCCAAGTCTAAACAAATATTCTTAGTATTATCTTTAAAGGCAGAAAGAGCACCTTACTATCAGACATACCTTTTCACTCAGGTGGTCTAACCCAGGATTTAGCTCTCACCTGCTTCCACTACAGGCCTCCCTTCACAAGCATTAACAAGACAGTCTCTCTGTATTTCATTCCCACCCTTGTAGTCTACACTACTTTCCTACCATATAGGGCTGGGGAAGATACAGGTATGAAGGCTGTAAGGCATTTAGATTTTAAATCTAAATACTACACCTAAGCAGGTATCTAAACCAATTATAGAAAGACACAGGGCATAAATTAAAACAGCACATTACTAAAACAGGGACCAAAAAAATTATCACCTCCACCCTGAAAAGGCCTGAAGTGAAAATGATGATTGCCATGATCCACCTCTGCAATATTAAGAGTTAGCCTAGAAAAAAACTATGCTGCTACTTCAGAGAACTGGAAAAACCTGCAGGTTCAAAGTTGCTGTATGTTAAAGCTTTTGAAATGTAGTGAAGAACTTCTGAGCTGGCAAACTAAGTATTTCTTGTTTTGCTCACTGCTGTATTAGCAAGCACAAGTACCTGCCTCCATAAAAAAAAAAATACAATTTCTGTGTGTAAACATTAATTTTGTTATCCTTTGAAATACTGGAAGTTGGAGACCAGTCTAACCACAATACATGGTATTTATATATACACACACACACACACACTGCTTATCTATTCTATGCTATATTGGACATCAGTGATTCAAGCAGTCATTGCAAAGAACAAAGATGTGTATCACATTACTATCTCCCTTTATCACGTGCTATAGCACTCTAATCTCTGTATCTGTGGTGGTATGGTACTACTGCCTTCCCACTAGGACTGTAAATGTTTCATTGTCTTCTGTTTGTTTGTTTTTTAAATAGCATCGTACTTCACACTACCTTTATTCACTCTTACTGTTTCAACTTGAGCCCATTTGTTTTAACTTCTGCATGCTGCACTACATTTAAGATTGGTCACTCCGGTCCGTTCTGCATTATTGCAAAACTCACAGCTGAACTTCACAAACATGCCATCTACCACCGGGCTAGCAGCAAAAACATCAAACAAGGGCCTTGCATTTCCTCCCATTCAACATTCCTCTCTTGTCCAAGGGTATTAACACGGAGTTTTCTGTGTCCTTCTTTCACTTGCTATTACAGATCCTGGAACAGCAATTCCCAACATTTTCCTAGCTGAACCCTGCTGCTGTAGCCTTCCTTCTCATCTCCTTACTTTCCCACCCTTAACCCCTGCTTTTTTTTTTTTTTTTTTTAACCTTCTCTTTGCACTCCTACTTGTATTCCTGTAACAGCACCGGTTTTGTATGGTCACCTTGTAACCTGGTGGGGTGAAGAGATGTCGGGCTCAAAGCCTAGAGGAACCTCCCTCCAGTCTCCAGAAGGACCCTCAAGCACCCCTCACCCTGGGGGCACAGCCAGAAGGAGGTGAAAGGAGTCAGCCTGCCAGTGCTCCTGTGGAGTAAGAGCCAGTACCTAGCTGCACCTTGCACCTCCCCAGCTGGGCACTACTGCTTGCCAAAAAGGAGGCCTTTGGCACCCACAGCCTGCAGCGGCAAGCTGGCTCGCTCTTCTGGACTCCCTCTCAAAAGGACAGTGTGTAAAGTGTTACTGGCAGACTTGCTGCAGCACTGCAGTTCCAGTCAAGTTACAGGCTAGCTTTTTTTCTTACTGTCTGCACAACCCAGGAAACATACAGCTCTAATTAGGAAAGCTTTAACTTCTCGTTTTCTCTAACGCAACCTGAAGTTTCAGATTAGTTACATGCACAAGTCAAATACGATGTTCTGGGTACCGTCATTCACAGCTTGTTTGCTTCAACCAGCTAAAGCACAGGACAGGGAAAATAAAAACCGACAACAAGTTTTTTTATGTTGTCACATTTTACATTACCTGCTGTCTTCTCTCAGGAAGGCAGAAAAACTGTACTCCAGAACATTGCCCTAAGAAAAAGGTCGTGTCTACACCGCAGAGGGACCAGAGAAAACCATAAGCTCAGTCAATTAACATCTGCAGAGATTGGCTGAGCAACAGCCAAGCAATTTTCAGACTGACACCAGTGTGGGTGCCCATTATCTACCCTGTCGTCTCCTCTATGGGAGCGATATCCCGTTATAGGTGAATGGGAAATGTCTGCACGAGCAAGCTTCACGGCTGCGTGAGCAAGTGTCCCTGAAATAACACAACACATGGGTTTAAACTGCATTGACTATGCGACACTGCTAGCTCCTATTCTGTTTGAGATGCACAGCAACTCACCCATCAGGAAAAGTAAATTCATATTAGGCAAGAAAAGAGATTCACCAAAGCTGAGTTAACACTGCCCAGGCTAGATGCATACTGTCAGACTAATCAGTTGTTCCCCTTTGCTGACACAAAGAAACTGCCCAGAAAAGACACATAACTATTCGGGCACAGCAGAACGAGGAATTAAGCATTCATCTTCCTGCAACCTGCTCCCGATAGCTGCATTAAATTACATTTCGACATTTTTGTCTACCATCAAACAGGGAATTTCAAATAGAAATATACGCCCTGCCTGTAAGTACGATACTTAAAACGAAAACTAAAAAGGAAGCAGAAACATACGCAAAAATACCCAGGAGGGGGTTAAACATTGCAACAAATATTTCTGCCCTTTTATTAACTTATACCCTATACGGCTTCTGGTCGCACCTTCTACATCTTCAGGAGCACTCGGTCAAACACAACTTACTACCACAAGCAGCTCCCATTGGTATGACAAATACTATTGCGTCAGCGAGACAGCACTAAGAGCTACGCTGACAGAGTCGTAGTGTTTGAAGGACCAGATCTTTCTTGCACACGGGGCTGCATTTTCAAAGGCATACGAATTAACATATGACTCCCCTTATAATGACTCTTATCATCGAAATGCCTGTAACGCTACACTAACGACTTACTTGTTGCTTTCACCAAGCGAAGAAAAACACGGCGCTCACTAAAGCCTTGCTAACTACACCACCAGGCATCGGAGGCAGTCACTCACTGCACCCCGCCAGCCCCTTCTCTGCGATGCCACTGTATCGGAACGACCCTCCGGATTTGGGCTCCTTCCCTGCAGATCTGACACCGCGCACCTTTGCCGGTGCAAAAGTAGAGCTTACTAAAAGTAAAGTCTCTCTGAAAGTAGGGTTTACCTTTTGTGAATCAGGATCAAAGGAAAGAAAGCTAAAGAAGCTCTGGTGCCCACCCAGCGTCCCCCATCAGCACACGGGCAGCGGGAGAGCGCATCAGAGACCAGACTGCTGCCTCCTCCCCCGCGCCTGTGTTTTCTTGAAAATTGTTTTCTAACAAGCCACCGTGAGCGCTTGCCTCTTCCTAAAAATTACTTTTCAGAAGCACTCCAAGCAATACCCAGAAGCTGCTCTTCAAAACCAGTCCAGATTACTGCCCATTACCGTGTAACTCGCCATCCATTTCAACTCAGCCCAGCACAGTACAGCGCCATGCTTTCAACAGAGATTCCTCCCGATGCTGAAGTCGCAGCCGCCCTACGGTCCCATCGGACAGCCGCAGTCAAGCACCGGGTGGCCACGGCCACGGCCACCTCTGAAGCCGGAGGGCCCGCTCCACCGTCCAGCTGCTCGCCGACGGACGCGTTTCATCACTGCAACTCATTAACAGGTTACAGGACCCCGTTTCATGGTGGCAATTCGGTAACAGCCCACAGGACCCCGACGAAAATTGCTGGAGGCTCCGGTTTTAAGTTTCCTGCTGGAAGGGGACGTTACGCTGCTCGGAATGGCCCCCGGAGCAGACATAAATCACCTATTTATCCCGGTATTACTTAACATATCCAGCCCCGCAGTATTGAAAGCCCAGCGCTGGGAGCCGGCGGAGCAGCAGGAAGCGAGGGGCGACCG